GCCACCAGGAGCCAGTGAGCATTTGCTCTGCCTTCTACTCCACTTCCCAGTCAGCATCTCCACAGAACTGGCTTCTCCCTATTGATTGCCCCTTTCCTGCCCTGTGCTCAGAGCTGCTCTAAGGAAAAGTTCAGCCTTCCTGTACTTCTGCCACCCTGCCTGTCTTGTTTACACAAACATCCTGGCTGGGGACTGAGACCAGAACACACAGGCCTCTGTATCTACTATTCACTATTCATGTCCTCAGACGTCCTTCTGCTGGATCAGAACTTGAGCCTGGCTTTTACCTCCACCATGCCAAGTCTGTGGTGAAGGCACTGGGTTTTACATCGTCTGTCTTGTGCTAAACACAGCCCAATTCTCTAACATGATCTTCCTCAGGATTTTGGACTTCTTCAGAATGAGGAACTCATGCTCTGGGTGAGTTAGTTGGGAACGGGGGAGCCATAAGGAGACAGCAGAGTAGAGTATTTTTATGGGGTAGTGGTGAGCCTTTAAGCTGATTTGGGGGAGTTATAGGGAGCCAACAGTTCACAAAGAGAGTAAGTTTACTGGGAGATGAAGAGGGTTGTAAAGGAGAGAGAGGAGCTACATCTCCAGCTCTTTGGTGCTAGCCCTTGCCTTACTCAGTTCTACCCATTCGTTCCTCTGGACAGGAGCAAGGGGGGTCTGGTCTGGTCTGCAGCTAATGAGCTTGGGTTGCCTGCTCTTTGCCATGCTGCTCTCTCCTCTGCTTCCTGTCTTCAGGAAGTTTCTTCATTAAGTTTCCTATAACAAAGTGGAAATAGAAGGAAAGCTCCCTGGACTTTGGAGCACAGGACAGACACATGTTCTTTTTCTCCTCCCTCCCCCTTTTGTCTCTCCTACAACCTACATACCTATTTCCCATGGACCAATCTCCTTGCAGAGTCTGCTAGATTCTTCTTGGAGCCCTCTCAGAGTAGGGAGTTTGGCCCTCTGACCCCTTCTCCACAGGTCTTTCCCCTGCTGGCACAGGTACCACCTTCTGCAAGGTTCTCTGTCAGTGGGTAAAAAGTGTGTGAAATGAGCCGTACACAGCAAGGATACAACCCAGACTTTCCTCTCAAGTGGGCAGACATCTTTGATATGGAAGGAGTGCTGGACTAGGAGTTAAGAAACCTAGGTCCTGCTGCCAAGTATGACTTGATCCTGCTCTTGGATCGTGCCCCTGCCATCTATGCCAGACAAGGGTTGCATCTCTAAATGCTCCTTCCAACCTGAAAAAGTAGATAAATCCAAAGGAAAAGTGAGGAGATTATAGAGACACACATAAAGAGAGGTGGTCCTAGAGCATGAGTCCTCTGGCCTCAGTTTCTCCTCCTTCATCAGACCACTGACCAGACCAGTCCCTCTCCGGCATAGCTGAGGAAGGGCAGAGGCGGTACCTCAGCCCTCATTCCTTGTCTGTGCCTGCTTCTAGCTTCCAAGGGGCTCAGAAGCTCTTCTTGCACCCACTAGAGTTTCTGCCTCTCAGCCCTTCTTTTCCTCCTGCTGTCATGGAACTGTTTGCACATTTGTCCACAGGGATAATAGCTGTTAAAGGTTCACTTCCTAAGAGAGAAACTTCTAGCACTGCATCTTGGCCCTGTGCCTCAGACACTGCCCTCTACTGTTTGTAACTTTCTCTTGTTTTCTCTCTGTTCTCTGCTTGTGTCCTCCCCCTTCCCTCACCTTTCCCAGGTTCGATCCATTAGCACCAACGTCCGGAGAAACCTGGCCTTCCACACACTCAGCCAGGAAGTCCTGCTGAAGGAGTTCTCCACTATCTCCTGAAGCCACACCTACCTGAGCAGCCACTGACTGCCCTTACTCATGAGGCTCCTGGGCTGGAGGGGAAGCGAGGGGAGAAGGGCTGCCCCCAAGGTTGGAGAGAAACACAAATACTGAGTTCTCTTGGTGAAGGCCACACTTTAGTGGAGCTTGGACAGCAGGTGCCAAGAGGGGCAAGCCAGGGATAATCTTATTTGGGGAAGAATGGGTGGGCACACGGAGAGGCCTCCAAGAATGTGGGGACTTCCAGGGTGGGCTCCTGGACACCTGCTCACATTTCCAATTGAGATTACAGGTTGTAGCTACTGACTAATTTTTAGGAGCTGGTGGGGCAGGCCTCAGGAAGCTGCCAACACCCTGAAAGTCAATAGCTTTCCTTGGCTTCTGAAAACAGATCAACTCTCAGACATAGTTGGATCCACATTCTGCTTCCTTTGAGCCTGGGGCTGAGCTGGGGTTGAAATCTGTGTCCCCTGCCACCACTGGCACTCTGTCTAGACATTAGGACCCTTAGCTTAGGCTTAGGGCAGGGTAGGAATGGAGTACCTTTTTTCTAAATCCAGAGTTGACTCCTCTGGGAAACTAGAGATTAGAGCCTGCCCAGTGCTCTGCTGTCTAGCCACCACTTTTTGGATTGTAGTTTTGGCAGCAGGAGTACCTGACAGCTTTTCCCCCTGCCTTCTACCCATTGACTCATCAGCACAATAGGGTCACAGCTTCAGCTTTTCATTTTTAATCTGGTTTAAACTGTCTTTAGGGTGTGTGTGAAATAAACATTGACAGGTTTTCTGGAGCCCTCAAGGTGCCTACTTTGCTGGTTCCCTTTCCAGCAACTTCCCTACCTCCCTAGCCACCCCCTTCTCTGGGAGCCTCTCCTGCCTCTGCTGAGCTCCCCTCCACGTGTTCCACCCCCTCACCCTGCTGTTGTTTACATCTAGCCTGCCTGAGAATTTCCTCTGGGGAGGAATCTGTTCCTGCTGTGGTGTGGTACGAGGAGGGAGAGAACCTGCTGGGGGCAGGGTGCCCTCCATCTGAAAGAGGTCAAGTGAGCATTATGCACAAGGCCTCCATTCTGTCTACCCATATCCTGGCTGGGACCGCAGGCAAATCTCCTGACCTTTGGGAAGCTGGCTTGTGGTTCCTACTTTGGATAGCTTCCACAGGACCACTGTAGGCTTTCCCTACCCCATAGCTGTCTCTGAAATAGCTGCTGCTCCCAGATTCTCCCTTTCTAAAGCACTTTCTAAAGCCCTCAGGATGGCAGGGAGCAAGCAGCAGAAGAAGAATCTGGGAGTAAGTGCAGGAATCCAGCAGTGAAAGCAGGTCCGGGACCTCCTTAGCTGCTATCCATTTAGCTTCAAATCTCTTTGGGATACTTGCCCTCCCTGGAATGAGTTCAACACTGACCAGACGTGCACTAGTTCCAGAGAATCCACCAACAGGCTGCCATGTATGCATGTAGGTTCTTAAGAGATCATGGGCTGGGCCATCTCTGATCACTAGATATGGACAGCTCAGCCTGGGGCATTTAGTGTTTTCCACAGTGATAAACCCCAGAGTAGCTGGATGTGGAGCTGGTGGCAAGTTGAAGTTATTAAAAATCAATTTGTGTGAGACAGTCTTTTTAGTGTCTTTTTTTCCCTTAATCTCTGTTGTGTAGACTCATTTCTGAAAGACGGAGTTAAGGTAATCTCCCAGGTGCTGGTCCCTTCTGGCTAGAGAACCGAACCCTTGCCTGTCCTTATAGACTCTCCTAGTAAAGGCCAGTTGGGTTCAGAGAATTGTGGCCTCCTTTGCCCTCTGGATGGAAGGAGGAAGAAGGGAACTCCCTTATCTCCAAACTTAGTGGTGTTTAAGAGGCCAGCCAGCCCATTGGGCTACTTCTGGATTCCTGCCAGCTGTTCCTATAAAGTGAACAAGGGCAGGTGTCGGGCATGGGGCACTAAGCAGAGGACTCCTTGCCTTCCGTTGTGAAGGCCCATCTCTTGGCCATTTCTTCACATATACCTATTCCAAGAACTCCAAACTAGAGTGCCCATCCTCTCCTAGAAATCAGCCTTAAAAAGAGCTCATGCTCTGTCCCTGGCCAATCTCTATGCCAGGTCTATGGAGACTCCTCCAGACCCAGGGGAGAGCCAGGAGCAGGGCATTGCTCCCAAAGACAATCCTCCCTTTAGCTGCTTGTCCGCTTCTTAAGCTGGAACTCCTGCCACAGTTCTTGCTGGGTTGACTGAATCAAGTCATGGGAAACTGAAGAGATTAAATGTAATGGGGTCACTTTAGCCAAAGTTTTTGGTCTCAGCAGGTCACCTCTCCAGACCCACTGGACACCTTACCCTCCTAGCCCCCATTTTCATGGCATGTTGGAGGCTCTCAGACCAGGAGCCAAGGAAGCATGCTGGAGGTCAGATCACAGGTCTCAGTCATTCAGTAGCCATTATTGGAAGGTGGAGCCCAGCCTACGGAAAAGGAACTAATCTTAAGGGAAGGGACCCTTATAACAAGGGCATTTCTTTCCCACTATATCCTCACCTAGATCCCCAAATCCTTCAGTTACTTCCTGAATCTGCTGAAAAACAAGGAATCTAGGACAGGGCAGGTGACAAAACAGAAGTGCAGAAAAATTGAAAGAAAGGAACAAAAGAGCAAAGAAGTCTTGAGAAACTGACTTGGTTCACCCTTTATTTTCCTTATCTTCCCACCTGCCAATGGGAGTCATTAGATCAGGGAAGACACCCTGAAAGTTAATGAGGCCCAGAGGCAGGGTCCTGGAGTGGGTCAGATTTGGGGCCTTTCTGGAATTTGAAAGAAAACAGCCCATTGGCCGGTGGGTAGCCTATATTAGAGGCTGGATTGACTTTTCCTCTGCATCCCCAACCGGCTTCAAGTAGGGTCGGAACTGGCTGGGACTACACGAGAGGAGGAACAACAGAGAAAATAGGGGTTAATGTGGAGACAGACGGAACAGGGGTCTTAGAGACATACCCCAGGCTCTGACTCGGCCAGAACAGTGCTGTCGGTGGGGGAGGGGTGCCTGAGACTTGGGGGCGGGGTTTCCTCACAGAGGGGCTTTTCTGGCCCGATCTCTCTCCCGCTCCCAGAACCCGTGGCTTCAGGTTTAGGAGCTAGTGTTGCTGGAGAGCTAGTCTTCCTCCCCGCACTTTCCAGTTCGCCCTTTCACCGGGTGCCTCCCCGAAGCGTCAAAAGGTGGGGGGGGGCGGGGGGAGTGGGGGAGCCAATCCCTGCAGCGCCGAAGGGGGTGGTGGCAGTGACAGCGCGGGGAGGGGGCGGGAGGAGAGAGGCGGCTCGGCTCCAGCCCCGAGCTCAGCTCCGCTCTGCCTCCGGCTCTGCTTTCACCTGCTGCCCGGGCCTCTCGCTCCTGCCCCAGGACCCCCGGGTGGGCCCTACACCCCGGGCCCCGTCCCCAGACTCAGCCCCGACTCCCCGGCCCCTAGCCCCGGCAGCGCGCTACGCCGCCAGGGGGCGCCGTGTGAGGGCTCTATCCCGGCCACCCGGCGCCCCCTCCCACGACCCAGGCGGGAGGGGGGCGCCGGGGGCCATGCGGGGCCAGGGCCGAAAGGAGAGTTTGTCCGATTCCCGAGACCTGGACGGCTCCTACGACCAGCTCACAGGTGAGTCGTTGGCGTGGGGGTAGCGAGAGGGAGAGTGGAGTCCATGCCCCCAAGACCCTTCCGCCTCTCTGACCCCGGCCAGCCCCTACCCACACTCCGCCCCATTCCTAGGCGCCATCCAGGCTGGTTTGGGCAGCAGGACACGGTTTCAAAGCATTAGGTCCTGCGGGGGTTGGGGGAAGGAGCAGGCAGGGCAGGTGTGGAGAGGCAGCAGGTGTGGGCGTGTGTGACACAGGGCTGGGAGGTCTGGAGTGGGAGGTGTTACGTGCGTGAGCGCCTGTCATTCTTGTGTGTGTCTGTGCGTGTACTTGTGTGTGTGTGCCTCCCACAGCTGGTTGCCATGTGCCCTGGGCTTAGTGACAACCAGGGTGAGTGTGATAGCATGTGTCAGCACAATTGTATGATCTTGTTAGACGTTTGAATGAGGTTGTGTAGGACCCTGGTTGTACTGATGAAGTTGTTTTGACCGTGTGTCTCTGTTGTATGTGCAACTATGTGCTTTGAGTGTGTGATTGTGTATGAAGTGACATGTGACTACCAGAATGTATCAGAGCTATACTTTTTGGTGGTATGTCTCTTTATAAGACTGTGACCATGAACCTCCTGGTGCAAGCATTTGTTAAAGTGAGTTGTGTTTTGTGATTGTGAAGCTACGTGGGTTATATTAGTGTTTGATGCTGATTGTGTACTTTCATGTGGTGATGTCTGCAGTGGAGTTCTTTGAGTGTCCATGACATGTCCTATCCTTGCTGCCTCTCTGGCTTCTTGGTGCAGACAGGGGCCTTTAGTGCACCCCACTGCATCCCCAAGTTTTCCACAAATAGCCCAGATGGACCCAAGGAGGGACTCTAGTGTCCAGTTGCCTAGCCTGGCTCCCAGGAGCATCCTCTGGTTCCAGCACCTGGCCCCTATAGGGAGGCTTTGGTTAGTGCTGGGTCAGCCCTCCTACTCCCACCAAATTACTCAGATCATTCGTATAAAAGCCCCTTCACCCCCAAACAACCCTCTCAGAATTTCACCCAAACCCGAGGAAAACACATCCTCTTGCCTCCCCTCCAGAGCCAGAGATAGAAGCTCTAGGCCATGTGGCCTCCCCTTGTGCCCCTCCAAGCCACTTTGTTGCCCAAGCATCCTACCTTTTCCACACTGGGGAGGTATGTGGGACCAGTACATCTGTGCATGTGCATATTCCTGGGTTTGGTAGGCAGACCCATGTGTTTATGTAGGTGACTGTGTCACTTTGTGTACATTTCCATATTGTGTGTGTTTGTGTCTCGTGCAGCCTCCTCAAAAACTCCAACAGAGAGTGGGAGGAGGGAGACTGTTTCCCCTGAGGCTAAAACAAAGCTGGAGAGGTGGGGGGAGGCCATGATCCTTGTCCTATGTAAGGGGTGTGGGGATGGGGGAGACAACTAAGATGGGGTGCCTTGAGAAGTGTCTCCCCGCGCTCACTGGGGAGCGCTAATTGCAATGCCAAGACCCCCAGAAGGGAGTGCCTTCCAGGTCCAGATGTGCTTCAGACTTGGAGGGGATCCAAAGGTCCAGCTGTCCAGCTCTGCTATGAATTCCACCACCAGTTTAGGATCTTTGAGAGCAGTAGAAGGGCCCAGGGGCCCTCATTAGCACCACATTAGGCAGTGTTTGCTTCATCCTCTCCCCACTTGAAATTTGAATCAGAGATTGACTAGAGGTGGGGAAGCAGTAGTATTTGAAGGTACACCTCTTCAGGTCAGTCAGGAATGGAAGTGTACCACCTCTGTGACTTTTGCTCTCTCGGCCTCACATTTCTTGTCTGTAAAAAGGGGAATACTACTTTCTGCCTGCCTGCCTGCTTCCCAGCCTCCCAAGGGAAATAGAAAGGTCAAATGTTGACAAGCATCAAGAATTGTGGTCCAGATCATTAGCATCCTCTCTGTAGACAGGGCCACACATGACTTGGAATGTAGAGATAGGACTACTAGGGCTCTCCTCTCAAAGGAGGACTTAATTTATAGCGAGAGGCAAAATGGTGTTGGGACGTCAGTGTTAATGGAGACTGCCACCCCGGCGATCACGGCGCTGACTCCTGAGACGCCTGAGCTGAAGCCTGGAAGAGCGTCGTTGTCCTCGGTGCTGAAACTTTCTCCGGGCCTCCCCCGTGCAGGCTGGATTCCTGGCATCGGATATCGGAGTAGTCTCCAGCTCCCGTCCTCCCAGCCCATCAGGCTCACGAGGAGGCGGTCCTAAGTTATAACTCAAGGCATCTTGGGTCCCTCCGATCGCTTTTCTTCCCCATTCCCACCCCAAGCTCGAAACAGCTGCGAGAGACTTTTTTTTTACTAAAACAAACAAGCTCCGAGTCCCACGCCACCCTTCGTCTAACCCCTCGGGTCTTCCCAGCCCGGCGGGGCCACTTGGCAGTGCGGCGCGGTGGGAAAAGGCCGCGATTAGCGGCGGCCCTGTCCGAGCGGAAGCAGAGAAAGGGCAGAAGTTGGGGAGAGAGTTGAAACTTCGCTAGCCAGATCTGAGCTCCTATCCCTGGAACTGGGATCTCCGGAGTCCTGTCCCTCTGCCCGTAAGTGTCGTTCTCAGGACTGGGGCGCCCCCGTGTGGCTCAGAGGAGCCTTGCGTGCGGGCTGATTGTGAATGGGGACTATCGCCAAGGGGGCAAGATTTTGATAGAGTATGGAGGTGACTCTAGCCTCTTAATGTAGGATTTTCAACCACAAATGCAGGGTACCTATCTGGGGAGCGGGACTACATCTCTCCTGCATGCATTCCCAGGAGTTTGAAGGCTCAGAGGGTCCTGGAAGGGTTTACTTTGGGTCTAACCCGATAGGGATGAGTCCGGGAAAGGTGGGAGGGAGAGTTCTACTTGATGCATTTGGCTGGTAGCGTATGATGGTAGAGTCTGTGAACTTGCTGCACCAAGACAGACAGACACAAACAGAAACAGTTATGGGAGAAAGGGATTTGGAGACAGGTACCAGTGGGGGCACATCCCTGACGCCTCTTCTTTGCCCCCTCAGTACACTGGCCTCTTCCTCCTCCGTCCGGCTCTTTCTCCCATTGGCCCAGGAAGTACGGAAGTGTGAGGAGTTGCCATGACAACTGTGTCCTCTTACCCCTTTGCATCTCTGTGCCAAAATATGGGACGGGGAGGGGAGCGACAGTCGGAGAAGGAAGGACTGAAGAGGGGCAGGAAAAGATAAGCTTCATTCCTCATCCAGCTCTTTTTCAAAACCCGTTTGTGCCCGGCTTCCCCGCCAGAAATCCAGAAAACGTTCCCAGAGCAGGCTGTGGGGAGAGTCCGCGCTGCCCCTCCCCCCCGCCCCGCCCCAGTTTGGGAACTTTGGGGGCAGGACCTTCAGGTGACGGGGCCAAAGTGAGTTCCCCTCGTGCGGCCCGGAGAAGTGGGCAGGCTCCCCGGCCTGCGCTCCTCCGCCTGCCGGTCCGGCCCACTCGGGTGGGGGCGGAGACCCAACCGCTCCGGGTGTTGGGGGCGGAGCTTGGCCACACAGCTCTTGGCCGAACCATGAACCGATGCCCCCGCAGATGCCGGAGCCCGTTGGGGCAGGCGGCGCGATCTCTCTACCAGCTGGTGACTGGGTCGCTGTCGCCAGGTATGAGGAAGGGAAGGGAGGAGCAGGACCCCTCAAAGAAGTGAGCGAAGTGGGATAGAAGCCTTACGGAGGTGGGGAGGGGAAGGCCCCCTCACAAAGATGTAAGATGAGGGATCCTTAAAAGAAAGGGGTTTAAAGGGCAAGATCCTCGACAGAAGTGGAGCAAGGGATAAGGTCCCTTACAGAGGAGAAGGGAGAGATAGAGCTCTTCAAAGAGGAAGGGAGAGGGGGCATCACGGTCCCTCACAATGGTGGAGGGGCAGGGCTTCTCACTGCAGGCAAAGGAGGGGGCCTCAAGTAAGGGGCAGGACTCCACACAGGGATGAAAAGAAGCTTGCAGCAGAGCAACGAAAAGGCTCAGCCGTTTACTGTATTGCTTAGGTTAAGGGGGTCTTCGATGATGGATCAGGGTCCAGAAGGAAAAAGCCCTGAGATGGAATTGGACCAACATAAACTCACCTAATGAGTTCTTGTGTGATGGAATGGATAGCCTTGTGTGTCATAGGGATTGTATGTCACTGTTTTGTCTAGCTCTGGGAGTCTGTATGAATGGGATGTGCATCACTGGGGCTGTGATCACTGGGGCTGTGCATGCTGGGGTTGCATGTCGCTGGGATTCTGTGACACTGAGACTGAATGTACCTGGAGTTCTATGTTTTAGGGTTGGGTTGGGGGTTCCTTAGTCACTAAGTTAGTTGTATAGCCTCAGGAAGTTGTATCTTGGTGTGAGATTTGTGGAATTTACAGCATGTGGATTGTGGGAATCATGGCACTGCTGAGATCTGTGCACACTTCGACTTGGGTTTCCTTAGGGCTGCCTGGGCAGGGCCCACAGAACCTATATCCCCTCCCTACCTGGCCTCAAGGAGACCAAAACAACCTAGCCCTGTGGCATTCTGGGATCTGTAGTTCTCTGGCTGTGTCCCTGGGTATCCACTTGAGCCCCTGCAATATAGGCAGGGCATGTGGCTGCTCCTTGTCATGTGCCCCCCAGAAGGAGGGGAGATGGAGCTGAGCCAGAACCGTGCTTGGAAGTTTCTTGGGGAGCATGCGTCTCCCAAGCCCCCTGCTTGAGCCTGTCTCCAGTGACAGATGGCTGGAACCAGGCGGGGCCAGCTCTCAATCATTGCAGGCATGACTTCCAGGCCCCAAAATAGCCCCAATGTCTAGGGAGATCATTAATCACTTGATGCAGCTGGGGGCTGCAGTGTGTTTTGGCCTAGCTGGGGATGGCGTGGGTCTGGGGGACTGAGAGAAGGGCTTTGGGGTCTTCACTAGCTGGGTAACAGTGGGGGAGCAAGGGCAGACTGTGGAAGGGGGGACAGCATAGAGTGGGTTCCCCCACAAGGCAGTATTACTCCAGGTAAATGACTAAATGATAGGAGTATCTCTGTGGTG